CGCTGGTAAGTCATTCAATCATGCGTTGTAGTAGCATTTGGCATGGTTGCTGATGCAAAATAAAAAGAGAGATATCGGAAAGGTAGCGAATTGGATTCCATGTTAGTCTACTCTCTCCTTAATACAGAGTGTGTAACCTTAATTAATGCAGTAACATTTTACTACGTTACTTTTTTTTTTTTTGCACAGCAAAAGAAATTTAATTAATGGAGTACAAGGGGTACTCCTGCCCGTGTTACAGAATATATTATCACTGAGCATCCACTGACTTCAGCTAGCATAGAATTGACCACTATGTACCAACAAAAGAATTAGCCAGAGTCAAGTGACTGCTCAATGGCAAAATCATCAGACCTTGCAGGAAAACAAAATACCAGGATAAATCCCAGCTAACAAAAGACTAGGGACATATACCAGCGAAAAGGCAGCCATAGATAAACAACCACTAATGACTATAACAACAATCTGCATTTCATGGCGGTAAAACTTAATGTGTACCTCTTTTATCTTTAAGACATAGGACAGGTTCCAGCATCCAGTCATGAAAGGAGAAGGAATAACATGTTGTCTTGCCCTTGATCCAATTGAAGGCTCTTAAACGGACGAGTTCAAAAATTCTGTCAGTCTCTGGCTCCTGATTCTTGAAAATCTTAGCATTTCTTGCTAGCCACAATGACCATACGATGGAGAACCATATTACATCCCACCCAGCTCTCACGGAACAGTCTTTGACAGGGGGTCTATGTTGTTCAAAATCATCTTGGCAAGTTTCGGGTTGGACCGAGAGGAACCTCCACCATTGTGCGCACTTACTCCTGACCATAAAAGCAACTTTACAGTGGATGAAAATATGTTTGGTATCTTCAATACTACCTCCACACATACCGCACATAATCAGGCTAGGATTAGTTATGATTCCCCTCTTATACAGATTAAGCTTTGTGGGAATTTTATCCTGCAAGACTTGCCAACCAAACACACTAATTTTAGTAGGGATAAGTTTGCTCCATGTTCTTCTGTGCATTTGAGTTCTACTATCTCGGTTGTCGTTGGAAAGAAGGGTATAAGCTGATTTGACTGAGTATTTTCCTTCTTTAGTGTGCATCCATATCCACCTGTCCTTGCTATCTTTGGTTGGTTGAACTTGATTAAGTAAGTCCTGCAATTCAGCATAGATGTCCTCCTCCCACTCGTACAGCGGACGTCTCCAGTTTAATGTCCATTGCCACTGCTCATTGATCCAATTACCCATTTGTGAGACCCTCTTCTCTTTGTCTGTTGAAACCAAGAAAAGTCTAGGAAATCGGACAGCAAGGGATTGAACCCCTATCCATGTATCCCTCCAAAACATGACAGAATTCCCCTCTCCTAATTTTAATTTAAAACCCTCAACTAGCCATCCTTCATTGTTTGTGTCTAATTGATTGATTCTACAAACATTTCTCCACCATAAAGAACTCTTTTGGCTATACTCCCGTACCCATTCACACCATCTACTCTCTAGACTCCCATACTTATGATTGATGATGTTGTACAATAACTCTTCTTCCCCACTTGCAAGTCTACTCCACCATTTCCCCAATAAGGCAAGATTGAATTTTCTAAGGTCTTTCACTCCTAACCCGCCTAATGCCTTGTTTTTACAAACATTGTCCCATGAAACCCAATTAACCTTTCTCTTCCCCTCACCGCCCCCCCAAAGAAAATTTCTACGGATTTTATCGAGTGAAAGAATCAAACCTTTTGGTAGCAAATGTACTGACATGGTGTAAACTGGAAGAGTGGATAGCACAGCATTGAGGAGGGTAATCCTTCCACCGAGGGAGAGAAACCGACCTTTCCATGAGCTCAACTTCTTCTCAAAACTTTTAACCAGGGGCTTCCACATAGAGATACTTTTGGCATTGCCTCCTATTGGTACCCCCAGATACTTGCAAGGGAATATTCCAATCTTACAGTTTAGGATATATGACATTTTAGATAACCATTCCTCCGATACATTCATTCCCAAGAGTTGACTTTTTTGGAAATTGATCTTTAGTCCTGATGCCAGCTCAAAGATTCTCATAATGCTCTTTGCTGCCCATATGTTACTCTCCGTGGCCTTGCCGAACAGAACGAACAGAATTGAATCATCGGCATACTGTAAATGAGATACCATTATACCCCTGTTGCCTATCTTGATTCCTTCAAAAAGTCCATGATTGATTGCTGCAGAAATGATGCCATTTAGACCTTCAGCAACCAGTAAAAATAAGTAAGGTGACAGTGGATCACCTTGTCTCAGGCCTCTATTAATTTTTACTTGTCTGGTAGGGCTGCCATTGAGAAGAATTGATATTTCTGTTGTCTTCAAGCATTCGCTTATCCATCCTCTCCATTTAGCGTCGAATCCCATCCTCATCATCATGTAATCGAGGAACTTCCAGCACACCTTATCGTATGCCTTCTCAAAGTCTACTTTCAACAGAAAACTGGCAGTTTTACTTCTCTTTGCTGCATCAATTGTTTCGTTAGCGATTACAACGCTGTCAACTATTTGTCTTCCCTTAATGAAGGCCATTTGACTTTCTCCAATGATGTTATCCAGAACCGAACTTATTCTGTTTGCCAGGAGCTTCGCAATCACTTTGTACATTACTCCGATTAAGGAAATGGGCCTGAACTCTTCAATCTTCTGGGGGTTAGTAACCTTAGGAAGTAGCACGATAAAAGAGCTATTTGCTCCTCTAACCATCCTCCCATTTCTGTGAAAGTCGTTAACAAAACCCACCATATCTCCTTTGATCAAATCCCATATTTGTTTGATAAAATTGAAATTAAAGCCGTTCGGTCCTGGTGCTTTAGATCCTTCACAGCTCCACACTGCTCGTTTGACTTCCTCTTCATTGAATGGGGCAAGCAAAAACAAGTTATCAGCAACAGAGATCTTCCTGAATTCAATCCCATCCAGATGAGGTCGTTCCCACCTTTCTTCTGCAAACAGGTTTTCAAAGTAGTTTGCAACACCTTCCTTAATTTCATTGACCTGTTCCATGTATTTGTCTCCCACTTGCAAGCCAACTATTTCATTTTGTCTCCTTCTGCCCTTAACACATCTGTGGAAGAATTTTGTGTTGGCGTCCCCGTCTTTGATCCATGCCTTCCTGGCTTTTTGACGCCACATGCCCTCTTTTATTTTTTGTTGTTTCCATAATTCCAAAAAGCAATCCCTCCTTTTTTGTATATCCTCTTCAGACAAGGGGTTCACTTCACCTTTTAGATCAATAGCGGCTATAGAGTCTTCGCACTTTTTGATGATTGAGTCTATCTCCGAAACCATGTTACTGCTCCATAATTTCAGGGCTTTCTTCAATTCCTTAAACTTTTCTTTTAGTTTGTATCCATGCCATCCTGAGATTGATGTTGAGCTCCACACATCTCTCACTAGATCCATACACCTAGGTGACTCAAGCCACACATCATAAAAACGGAAAGGTTTGGGACCCCAATCGATTGAAAGATTTTTCAGCAACATAGGACAATGGTCTGAATTCGTTCTTTTCAACCCCCACTGTTTTATATCTCCCCATGTGAGACACCATTCCTCGGACAGTAAAAACCTATCCAATCTGCTCATGACTGCTCCATTGGGTTGATACCATGTATATTTCCGACCGATGAGAGGAAGGTCAATCAAGCCACACTCCCTGATAAACTCATCAAAATCTGACATATCCCTCCTGATGGTTCTACCTCCATTCCACTCCTGTGTATTTCTGATGGCATTAAAGTCACCCATTAGACACCAACGACCATCTACTTCCATTATCAGCTCCTTAACGCTAGACCACAAAAGCCTTTTTCCAGGTATATCACAAGGTGCATATATGTTCAGGATGTGTACAGGGATTTTTGAAATACCCCAAAATCCATAAACTCCTATATAATTCTCGCCTTCAATTGTATAATCTCTTTTCAATATGTCACTATTCCATATACATATTAACCCTCCAGAATTTCCTCTAGATGCTTTTGCTACCCAGTCAAAATTGTCTGCCCCCCATATAGTTCTACAAACTTGGTAATCTACCACCTCAAGCTTCGACTCCTGAATAGCCAGAAACTCAATTTTTTCTTTCATCACTAGATCTCTAACTCCACTCTTTTTGCCTACCCCCCCCAATCCTCTAATATTTATTGATAAAAAAATCATAATAAATCCACACCACCATTTCCTTCAACAATAACATTACTGACCTTTGGTGCCCTGGTCTGCCTCCTGTCACGAGCTTCCATCTCCTTTAGTCTCTGAATAACCTCTGCTTCGTTACCCCGATCACCCACTCCAATTTTCTTTGCGAATGCCCAAATTCTTCCTGCAGTACAAAGCTCAAAATCTCTGCGAATACACCCATTTCTAATTGCAATATCACTGTCCGTGATTGACTCTCCTGCCACCTGATTTTGGAAACCTGGAGAAAAAATTGGCATATTCTCCTTCGATCCTTGCTCCTTTGCTGCCCTCTTCCTCTTATCCGACTTGGTCCCCTGTTTCTCTTTTCCCTCTTTCTCATACACTGAAGAGCAAGATCTGATTTTCTTTTTCTTTTTTTTTTTCCGCTTCAGTTTGCTTTGCCTTCTGCCCATCCATTGCTGCTCATATCCCGATTCACTCTCAAATCCCTTCCAGAAATCGGACTGCTGTTCCTCAACTTGTTGGTCGGCTGAAGTTGCTTTGTCTTTTTGTTCCTCTCGGATTAACTGTGATGAAGACCCCTTGCTCTCATTTTCATTCCCTAATTGATTTGGCCCCTTTAGTTCTACTTTCCGGACCATTTCCTCCCAATCTGAAATGCTGTCATCCATTTCATTAGTGGGCTGTTTAGAAAGCCTAGGATTCTTGATGGCCCGAGATCCAACTGCCAACCCAACTGCCAACCCAACTGCCTCCGCTGGGCTTGACCTCTTAAGCGGCCCAGTGGATTCCTCCAGCTTTTGATTTTCATCATTTTGAATTTTCTGTGTGTCTAAACTAGCCGGTAACTTCTCTATTTCAAATGTTGATCCATCATGATTGTTGTTGCAGAGAGCTTGGATTTTTTCAATCCTATTAGTGTGTAGACTTTCTCGGGAATCATCTACATTAGCTGGGCTGTCATTCAACACCGACACTAGGTCCTTTTTTGAATTTTGGCGCCCTTGTTTCCAACGGTAGATTGAGTGTTCCACCGTGGTTTTTGCAACCTGTGACGTCTCCACTGCATCCACGTCATCATCTTCAACCTTCCTCTTTGCAGGTGAGTTACGACTGCTTTTTGCCTCTCCATCACCATGATATGCCACACTCACTTCATCCTTGAAATCACTGTCGAGCGACCAAGATTCTGAGCTTACTTCGTCTGATCCGCTCAGCTCCTTGAAAACATGGTCGGATTTCATGGAGAAGATTCCATTAGTGGCCTCTTCTTCCATTACTTTGATTGAGAATGACTCGCCATTGACCCCGATGGTTATGCTTTTGGATATAAAATCCATCACCGGAGTAGATATCAACATCCTTCCTATGTCGAATCTCAATTTTCTGCTAGTGCTGTCATCAAGTGTTATGAATCTTCCATACACAGAGCCAATTGTTGCAAACACATTCGGACCCCAAGCATGGGCAGGGACGCCTTGGCAACGAAGCCAAACAAACCTCTCCCTTGCAACCATTGACGTGTTCCAAGGCTTGAGTTCTGAAAACCACTGTCCCAACCATTCCGGTGCCATCTCTACAAGATCTTTAATTTCCTCCTTATCTCCTCCTTCTAGTAGGACAATGCTTCCCCCCATTGGTCTAACTTTGCATGAAAAGTATCCCTCCATGAAAAATTTTTCTTGGAGAGTCGGAATTATCTCAATTGAATGGGCCGTCCCGACGTAGCATCCTTGCAACCATGAGTATTCTTCTTCCTTCACGGTGAACTCAATGCCAGCTCTTGCCTGCTCCTTCTGCTTTGCTCTCCACTCTTTCACCGGAATTCTATTCACATTGCTGTTCCACATCTGGCGATGAGCTGTCTCTCCATTTGCTTGCTTCCCTTTCTCTGTGTCTGCTCTGGTTTTAAGATTTCCTTTCACCACTTCAGCGTAGGATCTTTGCACTCCAACTTTGCCCAGTTCATTAAGTCCTTGAGTTGTTCTTTTAGGACTTTCCTTGTCTGTAAACTTTGGTCTGTTAACCCAAATTTTGAACTTGCCCACCCAAATTTGATCCAATTGTTTCTCCAGCTCCCACACGTTTCTTACTCCTATGAATCTGACGAACCCGAATCTGCTCCCCATTTTAGATTTCCTCCTAGGGCTGTAAATGTCTAGAACCCTACCATATTTGTGAAAAGTTTGCCACATGCTTTCATGACTCCAATCTTCAGGGAAATTTGTAAAGAAAAACGCAGTGGCCTGGTTATACACCCGTCGATCAAATCCCCAAATATCTGGTTTTCTGGAACTGTTTCCCCGTGCAACAACCCCCTCATACACTGATCGGTTCCTTCCTCTGTGCTCGGCTCCCTCCCATTGCTGTGTCGTCCCTCTGTCACGTGTTCCACCGCCGTCGAAGCTTTCTCGCACTTTCCTTCTCATTCTCGCTCAAAAAGATCATATATATCCCTCAGTCCCTACAAATGCTTGTTTATTTCTACTCAGCCACACTGTCCACAAAATTGCAAACCAGATCACCTCCCAGAAAAAACAATTATATATTTATTATTAATTTATATAAAAAATTAAAAAACTAAATTTTATTTTCAATGTTAGTGTCACATATGATATATTTTAATTAAATAATTAATAAAATTAAACTCAATTTTTATTTTTTTATACAAATTAATAGTAAAAAGTAAATATATCTTTAACTTATACTCTTAAAAGACATACGAGAAAATTCCTTAAAAGAATAAGTGGCAAAAAAAAAGACAAATAAATTCAATAATAATTTATCTAATCTAGATGTAATTAATACACATTTTAATAATTAATTTATATAAAAAATTGCTTTATGTAATTTTGTACTTTCCGATTTCTCTTCCTTCAAACTACTTTTTTTTTTCTAAATTTTAAATTTATAATTAGTTCCTCATAAATTTTTAAATTGAGATAATTTTTATAAATAAAAAGGGATGTTACTTAGTTATGAAACCATTTTATAGTACATAAAATTTTCGATTCTTGTTTTCTTGACAAAGTAACAATTGAGATTTAATTAATCCAATTGATATTTATTGTAAGTAATTAAATTTTAATGTATGAAAAAAATTACAATACTTAAATATTAGTTGAATATTTAAGAAAATTCAAAAATATTAATAATTTAATGACATGAAAGATCATGCCAGCCTGACTTCAATGGGCCACATTACATCCAAGTAAGCCGTGGAATTCTTTCATATTAAAGAACCGTTAGTTTTTAAAGGAATATTGACATAGCCATTAAATAAGAGCTAATTTGCCACCATTCAAGAGTTTAAAGGGTCATTTGCTACTGATTTCAGTTAAAGGGCTTTTTTGTCACCTCTTGACATGTTCAAGGGCTAATTTGCATGATTCGCTTTTGCTTTCGCTCTATATAATGGTGCTTGGTCTTTCAGCATTTGTTGTGCGACAACCTATTTTCAAAAAAAAAAAAAAAAAGGCATTTGTTGTGCGATAGCTTAGGTGGCAGGCTTTCTTTACCGCAAAATTCTGTCGAGAGAATGACGTCGATTTCGTTGCGCCGTCGTCTCCACTGCATCAATGGGGCGTCAAGGAGTCGAGTCTTGGGATCACGGAACAAGCATAAGGTATTGTTATTATTATTATTATGAAAATAATAACGATCGTGATAGGGTTTTCGAAAAAGTGTTGATGAAATTTGCTAGGGGAGGAAAATAATTTGATTATTTGGATGAAAGAGGCGGAGTTGCACTGTTACGATTGTTTCAATTCTATTTTATCGATCAAATTAGGGTAATAGTTTAAAAAAAAAATTAAGTTTATGATCTAATTTATAGATCTGATAAAACAACATAATCTCTCAATTTTAAAAAGTTCTGTTTTCTTATGGTGAGAGGTAAGAGGGAGGGTTGTTCATATTCAATTTAGATTGATTGAATACAACTAAAATTGATTCAATCATATTAAAATTCAATCTAAATTAATATTAATTTGAATTATAAAATTTTAAAACAAATATAAATAATTTGATTTGTAATTTTACTTCGTGTCGATCAAATCATTTGATTATAAAATAATTTAATTACATAATATCAATATTTTTATTTTTTTATTTTTAGTAAATATATTTTTTAAATTTTTTGGTAAAATAAAATTATAATATATTTTTATAATTTTTATTTTTGTATACAAATTGTATTTTAAATTTTTATTTCTTCTTATGTACTTTACTTATTTATTTACTATAATATTTTTTATGGTTGTAATATAATATAATTGTATTGGTTATAATTATTTTATTTTATTTTTGTACTGTAATTGTACAACATAATTTAATTAAAAAATAATACAGCACTAAATTGTCCCATATACAAACAAAAGCTCTACTCTAATAATGTGAATTTACTTTTATTGTTTGCCTTATTTTTTTTTTTTTTTTTGGTTATCTTCTTAATTCTTACTTCAATCTGGTAATTGGTATTAATGTATTATCATTTTACTATTTATAATGTTATTGTGCTTTATAATTGTGTTTTGTATATTCTGATACTCCTTTTTTTTTTACCTAATCAAATATACTTAATATAGTGTTACAAAGCGATCAATTCAACCAAACCACATCAATCTAATTTAAGTTAAATTAGTTTGATTATAATATAATAGTAAATTGAATTGGATTGATTTGAAAATTTAATTTATTAACTAATTAAATTAATTTAATTTAAAAAATCTTAAAATCCGATCTGATCCACACTATGAACACCATAGTGAGAGGATCATTCATCATTGAACCAATGTCTCATAATCTATTTATTGTCAATTAATTCATTTTTCATGAAAAAAAATGACTAACTTCATTTTTTGATTTATACAATTGTTTCGAAATTGAAATTAATCCAAGTAATAAATATATATCTTAGCTATGTGTAAAGTGAATTAACCATTTTAAAAAATTTTGGGAAGTAATTAGGGATGGAAAGTGGTAATTGAGTGGCTCTTAGTTTTAGCCCAACTTAGAATTTTAAATTGAGGTTGAAATTCTTAAGTTCAAATTTGTTCTATTTTCTTTGAGTTTAAGCTTTACTTTTACGCAAATTTCTACTTGACAAGCTAAGCAATTTGGTTTGACTACAATTTGAACTAAAAATTAAGTTTGTTTTCAATATAAATGAATTTAAAATTGAATATATATTAAAAATAATTATACTTTACAATTTGATACAACAATTTTATGTATATGGAAAGTCAAAGAAAAAAGAATGTATCAACTTGAGATTGATATGTTTTCCTTGAATTCTAACTTTTTTAATAAAGACACGACATGCCATAATTCTATGGATTCTATTGCTTTGAATGCTTTTAAAAAGTTAATATAAACTTTTTTTTCTTCATCAACATCAACTGTGCTACTTTGAATAACTGTTGTTACTATTAATTAACTAGTTAAATTGTAATCTTCTTTTGTATAATAAAAGTGCTATATATATTGGAGGTCATTATTAGATATGATTTGTGCTGGGTAATGTGAGCATTTTACTTTATAGATGTTATTATTGATACTTTTTTGCAAGTTAAAACACACTAGTACATGGACGTTGCACAAGAAAAATTTGATGAAACCTTGAACAATATTCTGTTGCTGGCTCTAATGAACTGTTCAATTGGGTGTGCAGGGAAGAACTGCGATAAAAAAGCTGAAGGCCAACTTCAGAAGGTTGAAGGCAGAGATGCAAGAGATTAGCAAGGATCAACAAAACATCAAAGAAGGCCAGAAACAAGTGAGAGAAAAATTGGAAGCAATTGAAGCCGAATGTGCACAACTCAGGAATGAAACTGATCTCATGATCCGACAGAGCGCTGCCAGCAAACTTAATCTCTGTCTCATGTTTAAGATCCTCAAGGCTCGTGAAGAAGGCGATTTCGCTAAGGCCACTCAGCTTGCTCAATTGCTTCGGTTGGTTTAGTTCCTCATATATGTTGCTACATTTGCTTTAATTTGCAGGGTAAAGAAAAAGGGAAATTTGAACTTACCATTTCTTTCTTTCTTTCCCCCCCTTTTTTATTTTTTATTTTTTTTTGTGGGCAGTACAATATTGGCAAGGCAGAACGAGCAAAGGCAGGGATCGATGTAAATGACAAATGCTCTTCCAAGTATGTCCGCCAGTGAGTGCAGAGTTATGTTTTTTCTTTCTTTGTCTATCTGTCTTGATTTCATGTTTAAGGGTTTTGATGAAGGGCAAACCTACATTTCGTAATATGTAAATTTCAAGTTTTACATAAAAACTCCATTTTGTATTCCATGTTGTATGGTTTTCTCCTCGAAGCACGAAGGAGATTAAGTGTGTGTTTGGTACAATTTGTTAAAAGGGCTTCGTAAGTGTAGAAGCACAAGCCACATCCAACACTATTTTCAGAGTAACTTTTGTGAAGCACTGAAAAGCTGTTAGTGCTCCTGGTATAAAGGAAACTAAGAAGCACCAAATTTGTGCTTTTGCGGGAACTTCTAAGTCTCTTTTAGTGAAATATTGTTTTCTTCCTATTTTACCCATAACGTGTTGATATATTTACAACAAACCCACTATATATATCATCAGAATTATAACGAAGCAAAACCTAACCACAGACGCTGCTTCTTGTCATCGCGATCCGTCAGTTGCTTCTTCTCCGGCCATATCATTCACTTTCTGTCCTTCGAATAAGCCTTTAGAGCTTGCTTTCCGATGCCCCCGCTACAACCCTTCTTCATCTTCTTCCTCCTCCTTCTCCCCCCCCCCCCTTCCTTCCTCCTCATGCGTTTTCTAATGTCCCCCTCTCCGCTACAACCCAGGGATATCAATTGGATTTTGGTTGTTTGAAATTTGATTTTTTAAAAAATCAGAACTTTTTAATCAATTTTGGAGATTGCCTAGTATACCTAATCTTCAATTTTAATTTTTTCTTACTTGTTCTTTGAATTTCCTTTGTGGAATTCATGCTGGTGCAATATGTGATGCCCTGTTTCACCCTTGTTCCCTTAATTTTTTAGTCTAATTAAAGTTTTCAGCTGATACTTTTTGGTGGTTGGCTGCTTGGCTCTTGGG